TATATATCAATTTAGAAAAAAAATTGACCTCAGCTTGAGCATCCTGTCTCATCTGTCCACCAAATCGCTTGTTTCTTTTGAGGCCCGATTTTGTGGCAAATAAGCGATAATATTGCATTTTTGACTTTTTTAGTTGAACAGCTAGATATTTCAGGATATCATCAATTCCAAAAAGTGGAAAGACAATTAATTATGAAAATTTCTAAGATTATAATAGAGTGAACATTATCAGATATCATTCACTTGCTTCTGAAAAAGTAAATTAATGATGGAAATATACTTTTACTATCGTAATATCAATTATTTAAGAAAACAAGTTTTTCTATTCGATCAGAACTATAGAAACAAATATTAGAGATAAACTGGCGATGATTTGCATGATGAACTGAGTAAACAAAATGTCACAGAAATTATAAGAAAGAAATTGGTCGTTCTAACTTCCATTTCATAATTTTCAAAAAAACAAATAAAAACATATCTGAAGAAAAGACTTACCATTTTTTTCATTCCCATAAAGTAACATTTTCGCAGTCGACAAGCTTGACATACTTGGCGTATGGCTGTAAGCAAATTATATCACTACTGTACACGTACATTCTCATGTACGTTTTATTTTTTTTCATCCAGAAATTTGATTTCAAGAGATCAGTAATTCTCAATAAAAGAGTAATTTTTAAACTTTTGAGAATATAATTAAGATGAAACAAATAAATTATGATTTCACCGCATAATTTGAATAGTTATTTTCAAAAATGAACCTCAAGTATTCAAAAAAAGAGCTTTCTCAGTAAATGTTTCGCTCAAATAACCATTCCTTACTTTTTTAAACAAATTAAAAATAAAACAAACGAAACATACAATAATGGATATTACATTTATTTAAACCAGTTCTGCAACTGAATATTTTTCGATGTATGATAGCACGGCGAAAAAATGCAGCGCATGCAGCGCACACTGCGCTTCAAAATGATAACCGGTAGCTCTTGCGAAGCAAATGCAACAACTGTATCGATTAGCATTGTTAATAGCCGAGAATTCTGTAACTATAAGTAAATCTAAATTTCAATAAATAACGAATTCCGTAGCAGCCTGAGATCCAATTGTGATTTAGATTGATTCACTTCTAAACCGAGGAAAAACAAAGAAAAATATGCTTATAGGGATGTAATAATTTCATAACTTTATTATTCTTTTAATTTCAAATACAAAATATCCAAATAAAAGAAGTGCTACGGCACATTATACGACAAGTCATCGGCAAACAAACAAAATGATCCAATGAACAACTGCGCAGAGCAATTGACTTCAACAAAATTATTTTCTTGCATCGAACCAATGAATGCGACATGTAATAAAGCATCCTTTTTCTCAACATTCTCTAAAGAACTGGAATTTGAAACTTATTCTAAAATTTTAAATCATTATACAACGTCAGACTTCTGGATCGAAACTTTTTTCTTTTACAGTTTATAAAAAGATGTGGATAAGCAGCAGAAAGTAATTTTTTTCTTCTAAAATTACAGAACAAAACATGGGCATTTTATACGAAACAGTGCAGTTTATTCATAGTATCTTTTGTCCTCATTATCTGACATGGTAATTTTGTGATTCAAACCTTCCTTACAAAAAAAGATTAAATAACAGTGAAATTTGATTTTTCACTTTTCACTTTTAACCTTCATTTAAGTAACAATTCTAAAAATAAAATAAAATAAAATAACCTATGCTCTGAGCAGTAGTATTCATGAAGATGATTTCAAATATTAACAGACGAAACAAAGACGTTTTCAATTCAAAGGAGATAAATGATATGAAATACAATCGCAGTGAAAAGAGTGAATATTGCTAAACAGCAAACAACAGCTGTCTATGCTTCTACTAAAAATGATGATGAAGACAAAAGCAACCATATACAATGACAAAGAGATTAAAGAACACCTTTCTTCTACATCAAACAACCATGAAATTTAAAATGAATTTTAGAAAATAATTTAAAATAATAGTTAAGTCCCTAAGAGCTAACAATTTATTTATGATGGATTCTTTTAACTGCGACAAATTCCACGGCAAAGATATGAAAATAATGGCAAAACAATAAAAGCATATGTACAATAAACAAAATGAAAAACAACTATCAACCATCTCTGTTTTTTGGTTCTTCTTCCTCGAGCATTCTCTCTTTGAATTTAGCCATCTGATAGCGCGATATTTTCCGAATCACCAGAAAGCCCGCAATAATCTAAAGTTCACAACATATTTTAGTCGCTTTTAAATTTGCCGTGAAAATCGTACAGATCAGTATAGAATTATTTCCAAAGTCTCACTAAGTTTTTTTCCTTCTTCCTACTACACTTTCTACACCTTTTTCACTATCACTGGAGCTGAATAATTAATTTCTCATGAAAAATTAAAGTTGATGAAAGCTATACCTCAATCAGTAAAAAAATTCCATGATAGAGACACAAAATTCTCTCTAAAGGTAATGGAATATTACTATTCAAAACCGAAAATGTTGCAATCGGTACTTGCAAAATTACACTTGTTATCCAGAAACCGGATAGGGCAGATATCTGAAAAGATGATTACAGCGCAATACATGTTTCAATCCACTTCTTTCCAATTAATTTTGCAGTTTGAAATTCTTCACTCAACATTCAGTGATTTCAAAATTTTACATTCAATATTCTCTTCTACGTAACAGATAGCAAGTTTGCATTAAAGATAATCCGAATGAGATATCAAACGTTATGCAAATTGCACGAATATTTACAGAATTTAAAACAATCCATATATTTTATTCACCTTTTCGCCCAAATTGCCGTAGTAACCAAGAAATAACCGGACAAACTCAACTATAATTGTTATGAAGAGTAAGGTTGACAGTATAGCCACATGAGTCATAGACAAATAATGCATCTGCAATACATTTGGATTTATCGCAAAAAGTTCAGACTTCATCTCTCCATATCCAGCCTATTCTTTCCATTCAATTCTCGCCAATAAGCGTATATATACGATAATACTAATAATATTAAAAAGTGTCTATTATCAATTTTTATTTCAATTTCGTTTTCATTTTTGGTAGTGAAAATAGAGAGAAGTTATTTGATTTACGGTCTTTTATCGGATGGAATTTTGAGTTTTGCGGTTTTTACTTTAATCTTCGCTAATAAATTTATCTTTTCTGATTAATGAATGAATACTATACCTTCACTGCATTAAATACCAACACACAACCTCGATGTTTAAAATTTTTCTTCATACCTTTATCAGATCACCAAGATAAAAATTCATTGGTGAGACTTAATAACCTAATAGAAAGACTTACTCAGTAATACAGTGCTTATATGTTCTGAGTTACTATTTTACCCATTTGCTTGAAGATAAGCAACCCTTTAGTAAATTTGGTAAAAAGAATTAACAATCTTATCCACTGGATGTAATGGCTAAAAATAAAAAACCTGAAATCATGATATGGGAAATACCAAAAGACATGAAATTAAAATTTATTACCTTACTGATGAGACCAATAATCAATCCAGTGGCCCAGAAAGGAGCCAAACAAACGTTATAATGCAAAGCAATTTGTAATGGTAAACTTGATAAAACTTCTGAAAATTAAACCTTTTCAGTATTTTCAAAAATTGATGTTTATAAAATAGCTGTTTTAAAAATGTTTTGTTAAAGATATTATATATGTATCACTTAACACTCACCAACTTCTGCTCTTGCACCAAATCTTTTTATTGTTCGCATCCAGACTTTAATTCCTGCAACCAACTCCTATTATTTCAGCAATTGACAAATGATAATTCTGCTTGATTCAAATAAAAACAAAAAAGGTATTTAATAATTGATTTTATTTGCTTAAATTAAAGAGTATACGTGACTGAAAATGAAAAACTGCAATGGAATACTTGTCTAATGTTGCCATAGTGACATCAACGATAGATCTTACTGTCCCATATCAGTTCCCGTGAGCTGCTCAGTTTTGCTCACTCAAGTACTTCAACGTCACGTCATCGAGAAATGCTAGTTCTATCATTCCATGAAAAATATATATGCAATATGAAGCAGAGAAGCAAATTTTCTATAACTTGCGTTTAAAGAAAAAAACTAAAGCTGAAGAATTGCGTTGATTGTAAATATAATAAAAGCAAACTACAGGAAATCTGCCACATTACTAGAAAGTGTATCAACCTCTGCGTCCAGTTTGTAATATTCGAGATTATTAGCAAAACAAATACTGATGCATGGTTCCCTTTTTATGTTTAGAAGAATTTTCACAAATATAATATATTAATTACTTCCTCTTCTGGAAGCACTTAGATTGACAACTTATCTTTTCACACATACCTGTTATTGTCATTGTCACAATCACTGTTTTTTTAAATTAACCGTTAATTAATTACTGCTAATTAACATGAATAAACATTTACAGGAATAAGAACTGTAAAACTATTACAAATTTACATGGAACGAAACAAGCAAACGACTTGATTTTTTGGCAACTCGTCTCCTGTCTGTCCTCCTTCATAACAAAATTGCGAACAATGTTGAGCGGCGGGGGCGGTGGGGGAGGGGGAAGGTTGGAATTGGTGGAGTTTAATTGAAATGGTGTTAATGCGGATTTTAGTGTTACAATATCCTGAGGATGATGAGGTGAAAATATTGGAAGCATTTTTGACGCGGGAAGAAAGTACGCGTTTGCGTTAGAAGAGCAAACAGTAATTAAGAGTAATTAGAGTATTTGTAAGAAAAATAGATTGAAATTAGTGATATTTGTAAGAATAAGAAGTGAATTTGAATTGCTTGTAAAATTGAAGAAATAAGTATGAATTAACTGATATAAATAATCATTCATTACTGTTCTTTTCAGTTTATAGCGAATGAATACAGTAGAAGATCTCGGAAGTTATAAAATTCAACTTCAGCAGGTTTGTTTTTTTCTGATCTCTCATTCGCGTGAGATTATCTGAATTGATAATGATATGTATTTGTTTGTGAAATGTTTATAAAATTAGTCTCTAATATCGTCTAATGTTAGTTTCATTGTTATTATAGGTTTTGGTAATGATATATGTTTACAGTTTGCTTCATTAATATTTAATTTTTATTGTTTAAAATTTCATTCTTGTTTGATCGCCAGTATTTTCAGGTCGAAGCAGCACTACTCACTGAACCAGATAACGATGAGCTATTAAAGCTGAAAGTCGATTTGCAGGAAATTATCACCCTTCAAGAAGAATTAAAATCATCAACAGTCGAACAACCAAGCAGTACGACTTCTGACGATGCTAATAAAAATTCTTGGAAGGTGAGACATTTAATTTGGTGTTTATTCTTCAAGATATGGTTTTATTTTCAAAAAGCTTTACTTCTCTTAATATAATTTTTAGACAGGATAAATATTTCTCGCATAACATTTTGCGGTGGTGCTATACGAAGTAACTTTGTCCTGGTTAGATGTACTTTCTGTTTTCTCTTCTAGGTGGGGGATCAGTGCATGGCGCCATCTTCGAATGGGCAAAAATATTTGGCAGTAATTGATGGGTTTGCACAAGATAATGTCGCTGTTACACTCGTCGGTGAGCATTCAGTTTTTTTACTGGTAACAAGCACAAAAGAAATCTTTTAAATTCCTCCATTCTTTCGCAGTAATGACCAGAAATATTGCATATCTGAGGCTTGCTGCTTGAAAAAAAAAGAGACTATACAGCTTTTATTCTTGCCTAAACAGTAAGTCCCAAATATTAAAACGAATCATTGAAGCTGTTGATTCGTTCTTGATTCCGTTATTTCCATAATTAATAATTTTCTGGAGTATTTTTAATAGTATCGAATTTTGTCATGAAATCTTTCTGTGTTTACTTCAGAAATGACAGAGTATTCAAGAGTAATATATTTTTACAATGTTTTATTGTAGTAGTTGTTGAACTTTAAATATCATCCATTTGTTGTCTGTTTATTTTACATTATTTCTTTCCTCAATCTCTTTTTAGTGTTATTTTCTAGATTCGTACTATTTTTGAGAAGGGTTTTGTATTTAGGTAAAGGAACAAAGACTATGGTTAACGTGAGCAATTTAAGTGCGGTTTCGAAAGATGATAGCAAAATGTATGTTTGGGAAAAATCAACCAAAAATATCCGTCACCGCAAAAGCGAATGGCAGGTGAAGAACATTTCTAATTTTAATTTAATTTAGAAGTTTACATTAGAAGCAAATTTGTTTATTTTATCTATTTGATTTAACAATAAGAAAAATCGTATTTGCTGCCTATTAGTATCTGTTATGTTGCTTGCGTGACTATCAATTTTGATGGCAGTTTGTTACTTTTTATCTTTTTTAGCGTTTTTTCTTACGTACATTTAAATCTGGGTTAAATTATATTTTAAGAGCTATTCTGTTGAAGAAAACTGAAAATTTGATGAATGTAGAACACGGTAACATATGGGATAAATGTTTTTTGAATTGTAAAAAAAAAAATTTAAGCAGACGACAGTTGAATGTGGAAGCGCTTTGTGAGAGATAGCTTTAAATTAAGACTAATATAATTGAGAACTTCAACAAAATATATGTCAATGAGTATTGCATAGCATAATGGAACTTAATCATTTCACAATGCCATAAGGACGATTTATCAAATGGAGGTGTCTCATGAATTTAAATAATGCAGTTTTGGTTTCACTTCCTTTCTACTATTTACTAGTTTATTCTTAAAAACTGTTCATTTACAGATGGAACGTGAAAGACGACGATTACGAGCACTGAAAAAAGAGCACCGGAAAAAGGAATTAGAAGAAGCAAAGGAGGACGAGAAGAGGAAATGGCTTTCTTTTAATGCAAAAGCAGCAAGTCGAAGCATGAAAGTATTTTTTTGATCTTTCTGAATTTTTCAGTAATAGTGCTGGTCATGGTGTTTATATCAACGCTTGATTCGAATTTTCACTCACAGTATAAAAATGAAAAAAGAAATGAAGTAAGAGTGAACAAATTTCTACCGTGAATTGGAATGTGATTGAAATTTGTTATTTAGTATAAACAGTACAAACCATACATTCTTTGTTATA